GAGAGCTTACGCGATCGTCGGGATCCGGAGAGCGCTCGGATTCGCCAAGATAGATGACGCGCGCGGAAGTGAGCGTTTTCCAGACACGCGCTTTATCCCCAATAGCTCCTGGCTCGCCCAGAGCGGAAGCGTCGTACACGCGGGACTGATTAAGGCTCTCAAGCGAGACGCCGCTCGCGGAGTTGGCACCGGAGTCGCCCAGCAACCATAACGGTGCCTTCGGTCCCGGTACGGACGCTGGCGTGGCGGCTTGCGCGAGCTGCGCATCTGCCCACGTGGCACCAATCAGGCCGGCCATCACAGCACCCATCAACGCCCGCCTTCTTGGCCGCCATTCCATCCTGTCACCCGCAGTCGAGCACTCTCCTCTTCGCTGGCTAGCAAGATCTCCGTTGACGCCGCCTTCATCATCTCCCTCCCTCGGTTTCCTTTCGATGGACTCAGCAGCAGCGGCAGCAGCAGCAGCAACAGCCACCGCGGGGGTGCTGCGCGAGCTTGCGCTCGCGCTCCCGCGCCCCCGCCTCATGTTATGTTCCTCCGCGCAGGCACGTGCAGTTCCGACCAGCTCTCTGAGCGCCATCGCGCGCGCTCGCCGAGCGCGTCCACCTCTCCGCCCCTGCCTCTTGCTCCCCGCTACACTTCCCGCCGCTCCGGTCACAAGCTCACTTCTCCCTTCTCCGAAAAAAAACGACAAGGAAGACAACTCCCGCTCCCGCGCTCCTTCGCGGCCTTTCAGCTTTTTCTTAGCGCAACAGCTCAGAAGAACAGTGCCCTCCGACGGCGCGCCACGTGTCGCCGCCGACATTACCCTCGTTCCGATTGCCGCCATCGCCTTCGTCTTCGTCCTTACCGACTTCACTGATCGTAGTTTTTGTCCTCGTTTTCCATGAATCAGATGCCCTGCCTCCCACCTAATGGCCACAGCGGAACCATTTACGGAGCTGTGAGAGCATGAGCACACGTGGCTGACGCCGGCACGTTTCTGTTCGGATACGCGATCCCGACCAGGCGATGTCGTCGCAGTTCCCCATTGCTCCGCTAACGACACTTCCGAGCGCATGCATGCACTAAGACTACCAGCCACAACTGCCACCATCGTTCTCTCTCTCTCTCTCTCTCCTGTCTCTTATACACATCTAGATGTGTATAAGAGACAGCCATCAGGCTCAGACTCTGAGCTGCGATGTTCATAG